CCGACCCTGTGCCGACGCGGCCCGATCCGACGCGTTCGATCCGCTCCGATGTCCCGATTTTGTGCCGACTGGCCCCGCGGGGAGGGTGGGGGGCCAGAAATCATGGGCCTGTCTTCCACCAGCACCACAAGTTTGAGGGGGGAAGGAGGTGGAGGACGAGGAGGGGGACGAGGAGGAGGACGAGGAGGAGGAAGAGGAGGAGGAGGAGGAGGAGGAGGAGGAGGAGGAGGAGGAGGAGGACCCCCTCCCCCTCCTTCTCATGGTGGTGGTGGTGGAAAACAAGCCCACCAAGAAATATTCATGTCCATGACTGCCTGGCATTATGTCGGGCCTGTCCCCCTACAGGGGGATTTTCGACGACAAATAAAAAAATACCCCCCAAAAAACCCAAAAGGGTTTTAATTATTCAAAAAATAGTCCCCCAGACCATTTTGGGACTATTTTTTGATTATTTTTGGTGTATTCTTCATTTTTCGTCGAAAATTCCCCTGCAGGGAGACAGGCCCGACCTAAGCCTGGCATCCTGGGGCATCGGCTCCCCGGGGGGCGGATGCGCAGAGCGTCCCGCTGCCCCTCGGGCCTCCCGCGGTGCCCCTCCCGGGCCGGCCGCATCTGCGCACCGCGCTGCCCCTGGGGCGCGAGAGCGGCTTCCTCCTCGCTGTTGATGGCCCCTGGGAGCCCGAAAGCGGCCCCTGGGCGCCGACAAAGGGCAGGAGGGAAAGAAACGCACAGACACAATTCATCGTCGGTTTCCCAGAAAATATGGGAAAATATAAACCCACAAAGTGCAGGAAAACATGGGAAAATAGGAGCCCAGAAAATAAAGGATAATATGGGAAATCCTTTATTTGTATGTATTTATTTGTGTGTCCCAGTTCCCCTTCAGAAGGATCGGGAGCCTTGAGACGGGGGTCAATGCAAATGGGGGTCAGCCAGAGCGCCCGATCTTGCAGGATCCTGCAGGGCCAGGGTCGCACTGACCCGGGCTTGGGTGCAGGATCTTGCAGGGTCTTTCGAATTGACCCGGATTTAGGCGCAGGATCATGCAGGATTTTGCAGGGTCTTGCAAAGCCCGACTGACCCGGGTCTGGATTGACCCGGGCCAGCAGATCCCCGAGAGGACAAACAAGTTCCGCCTTGCTTTTGAATAATCGAGTAGCGGATCGACTACAGGATTGATATGCCCCAGAATTGATGTTCTTGTCGAGTCCACGGGCAATTCGTAGAGCTTTCGCAGATCTACGAATGTTTGACGTAGTTTTGTGGAAGAGTCGACGTGAAAATCGAGTTGGGGGTAAATCAATTCTTTAGTCGACCCCCCAGTCGAATCAAGACTGACGTGGGAGGTCTGGGAGTGGCAAGGCTTCGGGCTGCCAGCGGGGACTGCCTCGGCGGCGCGTCCGTGCGCAACCCCCGAAGCCTTGCCTTGCTGGGAAGAGAGCAGCTCCGCCCGCGCACCCTGCCGTGCTGGAGAACCTCGCCGTTGTGCGCTCCTCTGTTCACCAGCCTCGAACTTATCCCTATAACTAAGATTGACACGCCAAAAGGCGATGACAATCTCAGGGATGCGCCCAGAAACACTAAGGGAATCCCTGAGATTGGCACTGTGAGGAGGCGATGCCCGGCTCAGGGATAATTAGGGATGTGCTCCAGGCTGGTAATCTGTGCCCTTGCGGCTTCTCCACCCTCCCGCCGTCCGTGTTCCTTCTGTCAAAGGAGGAAAGAATTCAGGAGGGAAAAAAAACACAGACACAATTAATCGTCGACCCCCAGGAAAATGTAGGAAAATATGGGAAGTGGGGGCGAAGACCAGAACCGAGAAAATATGGGAAAATATGGGGAATCATTTTATTTGTGTGTATTGATTTGTGTGTCCCAGGGCCCCTTCAAAAACACTCGGACCGGACAATTGGCGTTCACGAAGCGGCCCCGGGCGTTTGCTAAACAGCCTCGCCCCGTTTGCTTCCTGCTTGGGGTGCGTTTGCTAAACGGCCTCGCGTGTCGGGGTGGTTGTGATCGGGGTGGATGTTCTGCCCTCTATGTTGATTCCTCGTGCACAAGCGCTGCCAGTAGTATAACGTTGCATTCGCGCGTGCGCCATCCGTTTTCGTCCGCTCGAGCGTCCAGGCGCGGCCATCGCTTCGGTCAACGTTGGTGTCTGGGCCACGCGTAAGAGTGACCCTGCTGCCAGAGTGACCTCTGGTGCGGACTCACAGGGGTCTCCCCAGCTCTGGCCTGCGCGCCCGGATCTGGCCTCCCAGCGGCCCCCCTCAAGCCGCGCACCACAGGTCACTCTTGCTTGGGGTTCACTCTTGCGTGTGGTCGAGGTGTACCCGTCGGTCGTTGGAAGTAGGTATTCGTGAATTCCGAATTCCGAGATTCCAATCCACGTTGGGCGCCTTCCTGCTTCAAGGATCGAGGGGTTTTACCTCTTCGGTCCTCTTCAGCGGGCGGGCGCAAGCCCAAGCTACTTTTCACGCCTTCCTACTTCATGTCCCTACCCACCTCCGACCGACGCGTAACTCGGCGGCGAGCGAGGGGGGGAAGTGAGAAAGAGAAGGTGCTTTAAGACGGCGGCGGACTTCTCAGAAGCCCTCGCGCTTTCTGCGAAGCTTTCTCTGTCTTCGGGGATGACTCAAGACGCTTCTCCGACGTCCGGGGACTTCCGAGCCCTCTGAACAGGCCCGCCCCTCCTCACTTCACCGCCATGGCTCGCCGCCGGGCAACGTACAGAGGAGCTCCGTCCCCCTGCCCTTGGCATCGCTCGGACGTGTGCATGTGTTTCTTCGGCGAGGACCATCGAGGAGTCCAGGAGCCCATTGCTGGTGGGCAAAAGCTCCACCACCACCACATGCAGGGCGGGGGAGAGGGGAGGATGAGGAAGGCCTCCTCCTCCTCCTCCTCCTCCTCCTCCCCCCTCCCCATCCCCCCCTCCCCTCCTCCTCCTCCTCCTCCTCCTCCTCCTCCTCCTCCTCCTCCTCCTCCTCCTCCTCCTCCTCCTCCGCCTCCTCCTCCGCCACCTCCCTCCTCCTCCTCCTCGTCCTCCTCCTCCTCCTCGTCCTCCTCCTCCTCCTCCTCCTCCTCCTCCTCCTCCTCGTCCCCCTCCTCGTCCTCCTCCTCCGGGCAAAGGAGCGCACGCGCAAAACGCCGATCAAGGCACCGGGCGGATCTTGGGCGCCCGGGCGGCGGCGAGCCCTCCCCCGCGGGGAGGCGGCCTCCGCGCACCGCGACGGCCACGTCGCGCTCTGGGGCGTGCCGCGCCCCGCCCGCCGCCCTCCCCGCGCACGGCTCGGGGTCGGCCGGGAGTCAGAACAGGAAATTCCCATCATTCCCATTGTCATGTTTGTCATATTCCTCCTCCCCGTCCTCTTCATCCACTACCACCTCCTTCTTTCCTTTTCCGTAAAAATCAATGCGGTCGGTTTTTCTCTATATTTTCGGCCCCGGGGGGGCCCGGCCGTGCCTCGGGCCGTCAAAGAACGACTCTCCTACCCTGACACGTCGATTCAGGAATTGGCCGTTTTCGGTTCGCGAGAGGGCGTCGCGGCCGTCACTTTTGCGGGTCCAGGTCTGTCGGTTTCGGTCCCAGGCCGCGCACGGCTCGGGGTCGGCCAGGAGTCAGAACAGGAAATTACGCTACCGAGGAGCCCCACGCACTTATATTATTTATGGCTGGGGTGATGGTAGCTGAAGTGAAGCATGTGAGAATGATGTTGGTGGCCGTTGCCCCACCGATGCCGCAAGGACGACCTTCACGGATAGCGGCCGCGCTCAAGGACCACCCCGTGCGCACCCTTTGTGGTGTCGAGAAAACGCCACGCCTGCTGTGCCCTGGACGACCGTCACGGATAGCGGCCGCGCTCACGTGCGCACCCCGCGCACGGCTCGGGGAACAGGAAAAAAACACAAAGAGTTGTATTGGTTTTACGCCGGAAGGGGGCGTCGTTGAGAGGGTGCCTGGCACGGATGCGGGGATCGGTGCAGCGTCGGTGTTTGGAGCTGGCGGGTTTGCGTGGCAAGGCCTTTGAGCTGGCCGCAGTTGTTTGGAGCGCGTGACGGGTGGACAGGCCGCTCACCAGCAACTGGCAGTCCTCTGCCCGCGTGCCAGAACACATCGTCGCGCGCTCGCAACGGGGTGTGGGAAAGGGGGGTGGTGACCAGGGGGGGTGGATCTCATGGCGTGGGCCATGAGATCTCCCCGCATGTCGCGGCGCCTCTTCTTCTCTCATTGCGTCCCTTGGCCCTCCCTCCTGGGCCGCGCACGTGCCGCCCGCCATGCTTTGCGCCATGCTTTGCGCCCCCCCCTCTCGGACACCCCCCTCCTGGCCCTCCCCGCGCGCAGCGGGTCTCGGAGGAGTGCCCCGGATGCCGGGCCGGACGGGCCCGCGAGCGTCCCCAGACCCCCCTCGAGTCTAAGTCGGGCATGTCCCCCTATAGCAGGGGGATTTTCGACAAAAAATTAAAAATACTCCAAAAATAATCAACAACATAGTACAACAATAGTTTTGTTTCGTTTTTGTTTTTTGTTGACCTTTTGGGGGCATGTTTGGGGTATGTTTGATTTTTCGTCGAAAATCCCCCCTGTAGGGGGACACGCCCGACTTAATTCGAGTCGTGGAAAAATCAATGCGGGAGGTTTTTCTCTCTATCCTCGGCCCCGGGGGGGCCCCGATCGCGCCTCGGGACCGTCAAAGAACGACTCTCCAGATGTGCAGGCGTCAGTGAGTGTACGGCCCCTCCCGAGGCGGCCAGATAGTAGGCCAGAGCCCAAGGAGGCCCTGGCGTGAGCGTTGGGCCCATAGAGGCCCTAGTGCATGATTTGGGCCCTAAGTGGTCCCCTGAGCAAGGCCCGTGCAGGCCTGGACTGAGTGGAGCGGGGTGTCCCCGCCGAAGCTGTTATGGCTCGAAGATGATCTATCGAGTGAGATCGTCATCTCTGCATGGTGACAGTTCGTGAGGTTGCCTGAACCTACCCTTCAGGCCAGTGGCGCCAGCGCGCCATGGCGGCCGACAATGGAGCAGCTGGGGTGCAGCTGCTAGACTCACGTGGGATCGGCAAGGCGCCGACGTTTTCAGGCAAGAGGGAAGACTTCGAGGATTGGACCTTCCCGTTCGAGTCATACTGTGGCCTGCTGGGCTGGACGGCGGGCCTGGAGCGATCAAGGGACGCTGAGGAGCCGCTGACCGCGGACGACCTCGGCGAGCAGGGAGTGCTGGTAGGGAGGAGCTTGTACCACCTGCTGGCAAGCACTACGAAAGGCACGGCGCAGAGCGTCGTGAAGCTCTGCCCGCGAGGCGACGGCTTCGAGGCAATGAGAAGGCTGTACAGGGAGTACAGGCCGCGACTGAATGAGGAGCACGGCCAGATGCTCCAGCAGATCCTCGCGCCGACATGGTGGAAGGATCGCGAGGGGAAGGAGCGCTTCGCGGAGGTACTGATCGCTTGGGACGAGTTGATCTCAAGGTACGAGCGCGCGACCGGAGAGCAGGTCACGCAGAATATGAAGACGAGCACGATCATGGCCCACGCGCCAGAGGAAGTGAAGGTCATGCTACGCTCGGCGCAGCGCGAGGTGCGCAGCGACATCACACAGATGAGGAGCTGCATCTTCGAGGCGGTGATCGGCCAAAGTGGAGTGGTCTCGCGACCTCCGACAGCGAACAAGGGGAGCAACGACATGGACGTCGACGCGATCTCCAAGGGCAAAGGCAAGGACGGCAAGGACAAGTGCCAGATCTGCCACAAGCCGAGTCACACGGCCCGCGACTGCTTCTGGCGTGACAAAGGGAAACAGAAGGGCGACGGAAAAGGTCGAGGAGCAGCCGCGGGAACCAAGGGCGGAAGGGACGCCAAAGGCAAGGGCAAGGACGGCTACACCTTCTCGGGGAAGTGCGACTATTGCCATAAGACGGGCCACAAGAAGGCGGACTGCAAGAAGCGAATCGCCGATGAGAGGTCCAAAGGAAACGCGGCCATTGAGCAGGAGAGCACGGACCCGAAGACGGTGGCCAAGATCGAGTACGCGGAGTACGAGTGCGGGATCTGCGACGACGACCAGCTCTACTGCATGGCGATGGAGGTGGAGGATCCCGAGACGGAGTGCTGCGGCATGGAGCTCGTGGAGACGACCTTCATCACGTTGGACACCTCGAGTGACTGCCACGTGGGGCCGACCTTCTTCGGCGAAGGATGCAGGAGAGGAGAGGATCACGGCCCGAGGCTGCTGGACGCGCAGCGCAACGAGATCAAGATGGACTCCATTGCGACGATGCCGATGGTGGTTACTGACGAGTGCGAGCAGCTGAAGTTGCTGAAAGCAGATTTCAGGCTAGGTGACACGGTATCGAAGCCAATCCTATCGCTGCTTGAGGTGATGGATAAGGGTGCCGAGTTCTGGCTGAGCGCGAAGACGGGCATGTGCATGTACCCTGGCGGTGACCTCAGCAAGGGCATCCCGCTCACCAGGAAGAACAACACGCTGGGATTCAACGCGAAGACCTTCAAGACAGCTACGGAGGCGAAGGAGTTCGCGGCCAGCGTGAACGCGAATGAGCAGCAGGAGGAGGCGTTCGTGCCGACGCCTGGGGCTGCGGGCAGCGGAGCAGCGACAGCGGCACCTGCGGCTGCACCTGCGGCTGCCGCCTCGGCTCCAGAGCGAGGTGGAGCAGCTGAGAGCGCGGGAAGAGAGCGACTGGCTCGACATCCCGTGGTGCTACGCGAAGGGCAGGAGATCGTCCTGCACCCTTCCAGCCGCGTGGAGGACACGCGGGCAAGGCTCAAGGAGATGGGCCAGCCAATCTACGGCAGAGAGGACGAGCTGCGGGCCAGACTCAGCGACGCGGAGCGGAGGCTCACGGCACAACACCTGAAGGTGAAGGAGTTGGAGCGCAGGCACGAGGAGTCCGTTCAAGGAGGACCCACGATAGCACCGCGAGAAGTAGTAGGGCCAGCAGCGCCCACGGATGAAGAACGAGCAGCTCATGAACTGCTGCGCCTCGCGAGAGCGCCGTGGCGCGAGGCCTGCGCGCGGGGGAACGAGACGACCGAGCCGCGCAAGACCCTCACGTTCGACCAGAAGGACACTGGGAAGGCGCAGATCACCCTGGACTTCTGCTACCTGAAGACCAACGGCGACTGGGCGGAGATCGGAGATGAGGAGCCGCCAGCGGCGGACATCTTCGCGACGACGCTCGTGATGGCGGACAGGGACACGCTGATGTTCAATGCAGTCTCGATGCCCACCAAGGCGGTCACGGATTACGCAATAGCCAGCGTGAGCAGCTTCATTGAGGGCATGCATCTCACGACGGCGGACATCAAGACGGACGGCGAGCCCGCGATCGTGAACCTGGTGGAGGAGGTGCGGAAGAGGCTGAGCAAGAGCATCAAGCTAGAAGAGAAGCGTGGGAACCTGAAGGACAGCCAGAGCATGGGCGCGATTGAGGCTCCGATCAGATGGTTTCAGGCGAAGGTGAGGACGTGCAAATTCGACCTGGAGAAGCGCTATGGCATGAATATCACAGCGGACGCACCGATCTGGCGTTGGCTTACACGGTACGTTAGCTGGGCTACGTCTACGTACCGACCACGAGCCGATGGGAGGACGTCCCATCAGGCAGCCTACGGAGTGACCTACAACGGAGAGATTCTCCCCTTTGGCGAGACGGCTCTCTTCAAGACCCCGATCTCCCACACGAGGCAGATCGCGGCTACGTCCCTGAAGCACAAGGGCGAGTCGAGTTTCGTGAAGGGCATCTGGATCGGGAAGCACAAGGAGAGCGACGACCACTTGTTCTTGACGCCAGCGGGCTGGCACCGCGCAAGAACATGCAGGCGGCTGGAGCCAGCATTGCGGGCAGATGACAAGCTGATGAAAGCAGTGAAGGCCCTGCCCTGGGACGCGAGGAGCGCCAAGCCGTGCGAGCTACTGCCCAGGCTTCAGAGGCCGATGCCCACGATCGTCTTGACGGCGGCGGAGCAGAAGGCGAAGACCGAGGCGCAGGAGGCAGCGCGCGAGGCGGCGCCACCCCAGGGGGCGCCCGAGCAGGGGGCGCAGCCGGCTGCAGCAGCGAGCGCGGGGCCATCGGCGGCGCCCGCGGGACCTGGAGCTGGAGCGGCAGCGGCAGCGAGACCAGAGGAGAAGAGCACGACGGATGCGGACGCGCCGATGACACCTCGAGGTCTTGTCAGACCTGCCGACGCTGAAGACTTCGGCGCACCAGGCAAGCGCGCGAAGCACGTGGACGCCATCTCGCTCGACGACCCTATCGACTACAGCATCCTGGACAGGATGGGCACCGACTGCTACATGACGGTCAGCGGACTGGAGCCCGCGGTGGAGCTCAAGGGCAAGCGCGAGGCACTAGAAGTGCTGGCGCACTACGGGGTGCACAGGGACGTCCCGAGGAGCGAGAGCGGTGAGTTCAAGAGGATCAGGGCGCGCTGGGAGCCGCAGATGCGAGGAAGTATCTGCAAGTGGCGGTATGTGGCGCAGGAGTTCAAGTGGATGGAGCTGCGTGACGACGTGTTCGCAGCGAGCTCATCGGCACAGACGAGCAGGCTGGTGGACTTCGTCAGCATCAAAGAGGAGAACCACGGGACCTTCATCGCGGATTGCGTGAAGGCGTACTACCAAGCGGACCAGACTGAGAAGGTTTGCGTGGAGCCACCTGCTGAGTATCTGGCGATCTTGGCGGAGATGGGCATACCGACCGACGTCGTTTGGGCGCTCAACAAGATGCTACCTGGGCAGCGCGTGGCAGGCGCTGGCTGGGTGGACAAGGCGGCGAAGACCCTGAAGGGAGAGGGTTTCGACAGGAGTGAGTGTCAGCCGCAGTTCTACTACCACAGAGAGAAGAAGATCCTGATCGAGGTGCACATGGACGACTTCCACGGGGAGGGTCCAATCAGCAGCCTGGAGGGGATCATCAAGCGGCTGCGGGAGGTGTTCGACCTGAAAGCGACGGATGTCATCAGGCAGGGACGCTACTCGCACCTGAAGCGGGACAGGCTGAGGCTCATGAACGGCAACATCATGCTGATGCCGAACGTGAAGCACATCGACGACCTGATCTACGTAATGGGCATGGAGAAGGCCAAGCCGACGAGGGTACCAAGCTTGACTGAGGAGGACCCGACATGGAGTCCTGAATTGGACGAGATCGAGAGGGCGAAGTTTCGCACAGGAGTCGGGATCGCGCTCTACATCTCGCCCGACAGAGCGGACATCCAGCGGGACGTGCAGCTGATGACCAGGAACCTGAGTCAGCCGACGGAGTTTGACAGGAAGCGACTGGTGAAGCTGGTGAGGTACCTGAAGGGGGCAAAAACGTATGGAGTGCTGATGGAAAAGCCAACTGGGAGCAAGCCTGGAGAAGTGAAGCTGCAGTTGTTCACAGACACGGACTTCGCGACGTGCAAGGAGACGAGGCGTGCGATGACCTGTGGGATCACAAAGCTGGACGGAGTGCATTTTGCAGCGTTCGCAAGGAGGCAAGGAGTTCAGAGCACATCCTCAGGTGAGGCGGAGTTCTACGGCGCGATCTCGGTGGTGATGGACGGCAAGCTGGTGAAGAACATGCTAGAGTGGTTGGGCTACAAGGTGACCTGGGAGCTCGGGGTCGACAGCAGCGCCGCGAAGGCGATGATCAACCGCGAGGGCGTCGGAAAGGTGAAGCACCTGGGCGTTCGGGCGCTGTGGATCCAGCAGGAGCGAAAGGTCCACGGACTGATCATCAAGAAGGAGAGTGGAACAAAGAACGTGGCCGACCTAGGGACCAAGGCGCATGCCACGGAGCGGTTCGAGCACCTGCGAGAACTTGCTGGCATCATGGACTGCAGCGAGATGGACAAGCATAAGGAGCTGGAGGCGTGCTCGGTGACAACGAGCGCCTGGGCTAAGCAAGGCTTGTTGGCGACACTGCTCGCGCAAGGAGTGACGGGCGGTGCGACCAAGGCGAGTGAATGCGCAGTGCGAGATCTCGACCAGGGTGCAGTTACCCTCTGGGAGGCTACAAAGCTGCAGGACTGGATCGACGACCACACGACAATGATCATTCTGATCGTGATGATGACAACGTTCGTGGCAGGAGCACTGCTCGGGTGTTTGATTTGCAAGTGGTGGGCGAAGATGGACAGCACCACGAAGCAAAACCTGGTAAAGCATACGAATGCCCCGAATCGGAGAAAGGAGCTGAGCAACAAGGTGAAGTTCACGGACAGGCCGACGACGGAGGAGAAGGCGAGTCAATCGCCATGCACGTACAAGTGGAAGCACACGACGCCGAGGTTCATTGTGCTGCCCGAGGCGAGCCACGGGTGAGAACGAGCTTGCGGCCAATGGCAAGGTGAGCGAGGCGACGTGCCTCGACGAGGCGCCGTGGGGGCGTGCAGGCGTCAGTGAGTGTACGGCCCCTCCCGAGGCGGCCAGATAGTAGGCCAGAGCCCAAGGAGGCCCTGGCGTGAGCGTTAGGCCCAAAGAGGCCCTAGCGCATGATTTTGGCCCTAAGTGGTCCCCTGAGCAAGGCCCGTGCAGGCCTGGACTGAGTGGAGAGCGGGGTGTCCCCGCCGAAGCTGTTATGGCTCAAAGATGATCTATCGAGTGAGATCGTCATCTCTGCAAATTTACAGCACATAGCTTGCACCACACACTTTTACCTCCACAATGCAATAACTCATTGTTATGGGGCCACGCTGGCGAACATTGCTGCTCGACATTTGTACCCATGAGTGGGAGAAGGAGGATCGGATCGAACGACCGGGGGGGGGGGGGGGGAAAGAGGGGTTACGCAGTCCGCTGCCTGCAGCTTGCTTCGGCCCCACCGCCAGGCCATTGCCTCGACACGTAGCCGCCTCTGGCGCCAGGATGTGCCAGGACAATTAGCCATGCAAGCTTATTCGTGCTACCCCCCCCTTATTTTTTGCCTAAAAAAAAAAAAAAAAAAAAAAAAAAAAAAAAAAGAAAAAAAAGAAAAAAAAAAAAAAAAAAAAAAAAAAAAAAAAAATAAAAAAAAAAAAAAAAAAAAAAAAAAAAAAAAAAAAAAAAAAAAAAAAAAAAAAAAAAAAAAAAACAAAAAGAAAAAAAAAAAAAAAAAAAAAAAAAAAAAAAAAAAAAAAAAAAAACAAAAAAAAAAAAAAAAAAAAAAAAAAAAAAAAAAAAAAAAAAAAAAAAAAAAAAAGAAAAAAAAAAAAAAAAAAAAAAAAAAAAAAAAAAAAAAAAAAAAAAAAAAAAAAAAAAAAAAAAAAAAAGAGAAAGAAAAAAAAAAAAAAAAAAAAAAAAAAAAAAAAAACGAAGCCGAGAGGAAGACGACGATGGTGATGAGGAGGAGGAGGTGGAGGAGGAGGAGGAGGAAGACGAGTGTAAACCCAAGACCAATCAACGATGTTGGAATGAGCCCTCCCTCCAAGCTCCCTCTTCACAGGCCCCTGCAAGGGTTCATTTCCACTGAGGGAACTGCCTCTTTGAGGGAACTGCCTCTTCGGGAGACAACCGTTTGCAGACCCTGAAGCATGCCAAAACATTATTATCAGGACTCCAACGCCACGGATCAACCTGATTGTTGCGTCTCGACGATCCTGAAGCGTGCCAGAATTCCATTCCAACGAATTCAACACCGCAAACCAACGTAACGGTTGCACTCTCACAATCCTGAATCCTTCCGAACACCATGTCTTGTACTCTTGACCATCGGCAACAGTGAAATTCTTGCAGACGAGTGCGCGCGGCGCTAATGCAAAAACCACATTTTGAAAAGGAGCCGCCCCCAATCCGCGAAGCTCTTGCATTTTTCAAAGACGAGTGTGCGTGGAGCTAAGGCGGGAGCCACATTTTGAAAACCACCCGCCCTCAATACGTGAAACTCTTGGGATTCTTCAAAGCGAAAGTGCGCGGCGCTCAGGCGAGAGCCGCATTGTGAACACCACGCGCCCTCCATCTTTGAAACTGTTGTCAGTTTTCCTGCATCAGGACCATAAATGGTGAGGAAGTCCCAGGCGAAACGCCCGGCCCGCCCTTTCGACCGGCCTCGGGGTGCGACAGGGAGGAGCTGTTCATTAGGAAAAAAGGCATGGAGGAGGAGGACAAGGAGGAGGAGGAGAAGGAGGAGGAGGGGCAGGAGGAATTGGAGGAGAAGGAGAAAGAGGAGGACCAGTGTAATCTCAAGAGCCATCAACGATGTTGGAATACACCCTCCCTCCAAGCTGCCCCTTCATAGGCCCCTACAACGGTTCATTTCCATTCAGGGAACTGCTCCGTTGGAAGATATCCGTTCGAAGAGTTTGAATCCTGCCAAGACATAATTCTCGGGATTCCAACGCCACAGATCAACCTGACTGTTGCGTGTTGACCAACGCCATTCTTGGGATTTCAACACAGCGCATGAACGTAACTGTGGCGCCCGCGTATTCCCGAATCCCTTCAAACATCATGTCTGGTACGCTGATGATGGGTATCCGTGAAACTCTTGCAAACTCTGTAAACGAATGTGCGCGCCGCTAATGCGAGAGCCACATTTTGAAAAGGAGCCGACCTCGATCAATGAAACTCTTATGAGTTTTAATAATGAATGTGGGCCGCGCTAGAGCGAGAGCCATATTCTGACAACTACCCGCCCTCGATCCGTGATACTCTTGCACCTTTTGTAGACGAATGTGCGCGGCGCTGATGCGAGAGCCACATGTTGAAAAGGAACCGCCCTCAATCAATGAAGCTCTTGTAATCTGTTACAACGCATGTGGGCCGCGCTAAGGCGAGAGCCACCTTTTGAGAACCGCCAGCCCTCAATGCGTTATTTTTTAAAAGCCGCCCGCCCTCAATCCGTGAAGCTGTTGCAAAACTCTACCCCGAATTTGCGCCGCGCTAAGGCGAGAGCTTCATTATGACAACCACCCGCCCTCAATCCGTGAAGCTTTTGCAAAACTGTACAAAGAATGTGCGCCGCGCTAAGGCGAGAGGTTCATGATAAAAACCACCCGCCCTCAATCCGTGAAACTCTTGCAAAGTGTTACAACGAATGTGCGCCGCGCTAAGGCGAGAGCTGAAACGGCCCGCCGTCAATCCATGAAGCTCTTGCATTTTTACAACGAGTATGCGCCGCGCTAAGGCGAGAGTCACATTTTGAAAACCACCCGCCCTCCATTCGTGAAACTGTTGCCACTTGTTATGCTTCAGAGTCATAAGTGGTGAGGAAGTTTCAGGCGAAACGACTTGCCCGCCCTAACAACTTGCCTCGGGATGCGATGCGACAGGGAGAAGGTATTTATACGGAGCAGGAATTGTGGAGGGAGGGGGAAAAGGAGCAGGAGCAGGAGGAAGATGAGGAGAAGGAAGAGGAGGAAGAGGACGAGGAGTTGGAGGAGCAGGAGGAGGAGGAGGGGGAGGAGGAGGGGGATGAGGAGGAGGAGGAGGAGGTGGAGGAGGAGGAGGAGGAGGAGGAGAAGGAGGAGGAGGAGGAGGAACAGGAAAATATGAGGATGGGCAGGTCAAGGAGGAGGAGGAGAAGGAGTAGGAGGAGGAGGAGGAGGAGGAGGAGGAAAAGGAAGAGGAATTGGAGGAGGAGCAGGAGGAGGCGGAGGAGGAGGAGGAGGAGGAGGAAACGGAGGAGGAGCAGGAGGAGGGCTGGGGATAGGGCTGTTGGGCGCGGCAGTAGTACTACTGCCGCGCCCGACAGCTGGCGCAAAACATGTCTTCAGCCCTGCAGGCGACGATCGCTCGCTTCCTCGGCCGGTCGCGGAGTACTCGGCGAGCTCCGCCTTTCTTCGCCCTCCTTCGCCCCCCTTCCTGCTGCTCTCGCTCTTCCTCCCGCCTTCTTCATGCTTCCCCCCCCTCCACGCGCAGCCTCCTCTCGCCATCCCTCATCCCTCTCCCTCCCTCCTTACTCCCTCCCTCCTCCCTTCTCCCTCTCTCCTCCCTCCTCCTGCCTCCTTTCCTTCTGTATCTCCCTCCTCTCTCGGCCTTTTACCCTTGCTCCCTCCTTCTTCGAGAGGCGCTTCGCAGTTCACCGCCCAGGCCCAACCACTAGTTCTCCCCGGCAGAGCCGAAGGCGGCTCCAGGACGGGATGAACTTATTACTCCAGATTTCGTAATAAAAGGAAGGGGGTCTGGACCCTCCAAGACAAGCCATTTCAGACCTCCCCCGTGGGAGAACCCTCCAAAACAGTGTCCCCAGACCCCCCAGGCCCTCCAAGATAGCCTGGAAGAGACCCCCGATACGGGGCAGAGCATTGGGCAAGATGGGCCAGAGGCGGCCCAGGCGGTCCACTGGACGGCCCAAGCGCGAGCTTCCCCATGTTTGGGCCCTGGCCGCGTCCGAAGCCAGGCGGCCCAGGGGAGCCCCTGGACGGCCCACGCGACAGCGGCTCCGCGTGGGGCCACAAGCTAGTCCGAATTTTTTTTTGTTCAACGCGGGCCATGTTCGGGACCGTCTTGGGCTTCGTCTTGGGGCCCAAGGAGGGCTCATAACCGTTTGACATTGACCTAGAGCGCGCCCAGAATCGGCGTCGAAGTTTAATACTCCACGAGTCCGACAGTCAGCTGTTAGAAGTGTCTTTGCGACCCCTGGCGAGGCACTTTAATCAAGAAGCCATGTGTTCTGCCACATTTGGGAAGTTTCGAGTTTTTTGACGAAGTTGGTTGGGCCCTAGGGGCAGCTTATTTTGGACTCCGAACGGGCCCCGAAGGAGCCAACACTCGAGTCCAGATGAGGCTTGCGAGCGTGTTGGGAACGGTCTCGAATTCGAGCTCGGGGTGGACGCCGTGTGGGAGCCGTTTTGTTTTGGAACATGGCGTCGGCCGCGGCGGGGCGGCGGAATGGCGGATGTCTTTGGGGGGGAAAAGGGACAGGCTAGAGCCTTGTGAGCAGCTCTCTCCCAGGTGGACACCCCGCGCCACTTAGCCCCGAAGGCGGGCGGGCGATCCCCAGCTTGTCCCTCTTTTCTCAAGAGGCTTGCGCCATTCCGCCGATCCCTGGAGGGAGGACAGGCGAATGCAGCTCGTGCATCCACCCGTCGGCGAGAGGCAGCACGGCAAACAGCGTTGAGCTCAAGCTCTCTCTTAGGGGTCTTTGGATTGCCTCCTGGGGTCATCTTGGATGCCTCCTCGCTCCTGTTGGTTCTCCTTGCTCCGTCCTGCGTTCTCCTCCTCATCCGGGCCCGCAGGTGATGATCGCCAACGTGTCTCCGAACAGCAGCGCGGTCTGCCGCGAAGATCCGTGCTCAGGAGGAGCACGAACGCACCAGCGGCATCACAAGCAGCACCGGCAGCAGAGCCAGCCAGACAAAGAGGGGGACGGTGAACGGGAGGACGAGGAAAAGGGGGAGGGGGAGGAGGTAGAGGAGGAGAGGGAGAAGGAGTGGACATGGACTGATTCCCAGCCTCGCACTCGCCGCGTCCTCGG